GTTGAAATTGTTTCTTCAGGTCCAAATTGAATATGTCACAAATGTAAATATGTGTCTGTATATATGAGTGTTTGCCTCAATGTATCAATTTAGTGATGAAGCTAAAACCAGCAACGGTAGCAATTTCACATAATGCGGCGTTTGTCAGTTTTGAAATAGTGTTGTCTCTAGCTTACTTAGCTAGCTTACTAGCCAGAAAACTTTCTTACTAATAGTGTTGTCTCTAGCTTACTTAGCTACTATAGGGGAAAAGTTTCGCGTGCTCACCAGAAACTTTCACTTTTCACTAACTTAAATGAATTAAAGTAGTTTGAGTCACACACACACATCGCTCCCCACACACTGAGATGGCACCATTTTGTTTAAAAAGATAGTTTTGTCTGCAGAATACGGTTGACTGATCGAGTCAAGCGATGTCTTTACCCAATACAACCACAAGATGGTGCCAGATCTTCACTAAAACGTATCAACGTTGCATTTAATTTGAAACCTTTTCTTTTTAGTCTAGTCAGCGTTATTCCCTGAAAACATACTAAATAAATTACTCCTATATACCTTGTGTTTAAGAACTCATAAAACAATAAACAATACATTGTGACAAACTCATGCTGGGGTGATTCAACACAGTTAGACGTATGGGAGCCTAGAATTATTTCTTATTAGTAAATATTTTATTAATGTAGAGACTTAGTTATTTCTCCAGTGGACGACATTTTCACTGCCAAAAAAGGCAGACAATTTTAGAATGATTTTCCGTGAGAGTGACCGTCTAATTACTTTTGGCACTAAATGTAATTTGGAACATTCCCAGGGTTCTTTAAATATCAGCTATATAACTTAAGTATTTACTTGTTGAACATGAATTATTTGCTTGTACTATAGGGCAGTACAACTCTCGTGAAGAACACAATTCGTTTCTATATGTTTATACATAAAAGGACAAGCCTCAATGTTTTTGATCGTGATCGTTATCTTTCTTGTTCAATCTTTAATTTTATTATTCGATATTTTATCAAAGCCTTCGGTAAATCGTTAAGTCGCTAAATAACACTTTATTGTAATACACATGTACAATGTGATCGGGGTTTTTTTTGGTTTTTTTGTTCGTTTTTTTTTTATACACATGTACAATGTGATCGGGGTTTGTTTTTTTTAAAACATCAACACCTCCACAGCTGTGTAGTACTGAGAAGCACCGACTTTGGTGTCAGTGAACCTCTGGAGGATTCCGTGCTGCAGCTGATACAGCACTGCCTCCTCCATTCATCCATTCATCGGGTTTTTTACTCTCCTGCACCACGTTGTTGTTGCTGCCGCTGCCTGGGCCACTGAACTCAGTCAGGGATAAGACGCACACACACACACACCGTTAAAGGTGCATTTTCCAAAAAAAAAAAAAATTTTTTTTTTTTCAAATTCCATGATGATGCAGCGCTGATAGGACAGCAGTAAAACAGCGGCGGCAGCAGCAGCAGCATCATCCAGTGGACGGACAGAGATGACTCACAGCTCACGGTCAGTCACTCAGGCAATTTTACGCTGTAGTGTGTGGAATCAATACCACTATGATACTTATGTTGTGGTGGGCTGAGTGTGTGAGGCGTGGCTTGGTGTCACCGACACAGTGTTGGTTTTTCCATATGTGCTCTCAGGGTTTAGCCTCATCTCGGTGACACGGACGCGCCAACTGCATTCGCGCGGTCGGGAACACACGGCATCTCTGAAGGTAAGTCCCCCCCTCCTCTGTTTCTGCTTTCTTCTTGTCTGACGGAGTGAATTTCTTCGACAAGGTCGAAACATATCAGCACATATCAGTGGCCTCTCAGATGTAGGGGCGATACATGACTGCAAATGTGGGCTGCAGCCCAGATCTTCATGCACGCTGTTGTGCGCCACTTGGACGCTTCATTTTTTTGTGCAAATTCACAGCTTCTTGATATTCATGTCTGAACTGCTGCAGACATCAGGGGGTTTGTTTATGTTTTTTTTTTCTTCAAACCAACAATCTCTGTTATTGTGTTTTACCGTCTGTATTTGCACCTTGCCAACAGACAGGCAGATGTTCCACACCTGTCCGTGACCCACAGCAGGATCCTCTCCTCTGTAGGCACATTTACACTGAGCATCTCAATAAATTGATTGAAAACTATTTTTTTTCTAACTTTAAGTTGGAAAAACTATTTTTTTTCTAACTTTAAGTTGGTTTAAGATATTTTAATTTTAATCGAAATATGCCATACAATTAGATGTATGTGTGAGCAGATCCTACAGGCTCATTCATTGGTCCTGCTGTGACAGAAATGGCTGATGTGGAACACTGGAGTCTCTGCCTCCTCTTGTTTCCGTGTGGTGTAAAGCACAGAGCTCTGTGTGCAGTTATATTTCTAATTCATTTGTCAGACACCAAAATGATCAGATATTTCAGACTCCCACTGAGTGCTGGCTCATTACTTTGTAGGACTGACCCAGATTCTACCACACATTTACAAGAGGGACACCGAGAAAGTGTTGGTCCCTGCGAAACAAAATGGACCAAACTGTTAACACAACTCAAATGAACCGTATTGTCTGTATACATAATAAGAACATTGAACTAATTGTGGTTGGGTTTTAACAGGTTCTAAATCAGCATAAAAAAAAATCTTTATATGAGTCTGTAAGTAATGACGCAGACTTCTCTGTTTTTATAAAAAATATTTTTTTCCTCTGCCTTATGTGGGTTATGTTAAAGTAAAAATATGAGCATAAATATTTTGAAAAGCAGCATGTTGTGTATATTTAATTGTATAATAATGTTAAGCAAACGTACAAAAGTATTTATAATAAGCTTTGTATAAATAAAAATAAGAAATAAGTCCGTAAACAAAAATAAATAAATAAAGATGATTAAATTTGAATGTTAAAACATTTTTATATCAAAAATAAAGTAGAGAGATATTCAAAATATTTAAAAAAAAGCAAAAAAAAGCAAAACGAGAGATATTCAAAATATTTAAAAAAAAAGAAAAAAACAAAAATGCAAAAAAAGTTAAATAAGGTAAATTATGAATTTTTGAAATAAAATCTGATATTTTTCTTTTCTTTTTTTTTTCTTTTTTTTCTTAGGAACGTGATAACGTCACTGTTTACAAGTTTGGATTTCAACAATATTCCAACTCTGACTTAGTGGAAACATGGGAACGAACCCAAAAAGAACAGTGACAGTCCAGATGGTGCCTCAGCTGGCTGTGGTGGATTCTCTGGGCAACAGGGAGTCAAACGCCAACTGCACTAAAGGGGCCAACCTCAAACTCCCTCAGGTTTGTCCCACGGCCCTCCTCACATCCAACCACCACCACCAACAGGACGACGTGTCTTCAGCTGCTGTGTCCACCAACGTTGTCCCCCACACCCAACAAACAGCTGGTGAAGCGGCTCCGGCCAATGGGAACCAGGAGAAACCCGAGTTTGTAAAAGGTGGAGACCAACAGATGCCAGAAAAGTCGCTACCTGTCAAACGTGTGAGTGAGCCGGGAGGCAGCCAGACTGATTCTAATGCTAATATGAGAATGTCGAGCCGAGGTGATGAAAAGGATATCTGTAAAGCTGGCGTGCCATCTGCCGTCACAGCGTCAGCGGTCGACAGACAGAGCAGTAACTGCAGAGTAAAAGAACCCAGTGCAAACCAGGCAGGAGAGCAGCGTGAAAAGACGGCGTCCTCGGCCACAACCGCAGCACCAGAGGACAATAATAATTATGTTTCTACAAATGTGAAGAGTCCCACCAGCGTGTGTCATTTACCACAAACTAAATCTGCGGAGCAGGATAATAAAGGAAGTATATCCACTCCCCAAAATAAGGACATTGTTATTTCACAGAAACACACAGAGCAAATACAGAATTCATCGCAGCCCACACCTGGAACCAGCATGAAAACGACGTCTCCCCGGAACTCCGCTGCAGCTAAAGAACCAGGGCCCGCAACATCTAATGTAACGATGTCAAAGGAGGAGTTGAAAATGGAGAAGAAACCAGAAGAAGAACCGCAGTTGGTGGCTTCACAGCAGACCTCCTCCTCCGTTCAAAACGTCAGTCAAACTAAGACGTCGGTCAGTGAAGGGCTGGAGCGGCCGCTCTCCAAAGTCTACAAGGAGGCGTCCACCATGACCTCCTCCCTGTCGCCCACCCCGGTCAAGCAGTGTCATGACATGGAGGTGCAGGCGGTGGCCAACATGTGCAGCAAAGCTGTGGCCACCAGCCCCAGCCTGCTGCCCTTCGCCGGCATCCGCAGGCCGTGCAGTGGCGCGGGCCCCGGGGACGAGGTGCCGAGCCTGGCTGTGGTCTTGGTGGAGGACCGCGGGGTGGAGGTCCAGCAGGTGCACCTGCCTTCAGTCTCATCTGATTCAAGGTCAGAGAAGCTCACAGTGGAGGCAGAAATGTGCTGTAACCAAAATGCAGTCAAATCACAAGCAGATGGAGGACTTGGAGCCAAGCCCAAAGAGCCGGAGCCAGCTTTTTGTAACATTCAGCCGGCCTATCAAATCAACATTGAACACAAGGAGCAGGGAGACTCAGGTAACTCCCAGTGTAAAGCAGCGACTCAGAAATCTGTGGCAAAAACAATCAGTGCTCCAGCTCCTCTGCTCAAACCAGGGACAGCCCCACACAGCGCCGGTGTTTCCAAGTCTGGATCTGCTGACAGTAACGTTACGGCGCCATCCTCAGGTGCTGTTAATTCAAAGCCTGACCAGAGCCTCAAAACAACAACAACAACAACAATAACAACAACAACAAAGACAACAACAGGAAAAAACAAATCCAAGTCTGAAGTCACTACAAACAAAGCAGAGAGTTCAAAAAAAAAAAGCAAAAACGCTGAGGGTAAAGCTGCCGTACAGAAGACGGAGAAGAAGAAAAACAAAGAAGAAGAGGACGAGCAGGCCGAGAAGCAGGGTGTCCATGATGTCGTCTGGGACGAACAAGGCATGACGTGGGAGGTGTACGGGGCCTCGGTCGACCCGGAATCCCTGGGCTTTGCCATTCAGAGCCACCTGCAGTGCAAAATTAAGGAGCAAGAAAGGAAACTGATTGTGCAGACTTCCCTGCGAAAGTCGGTCTCTGACTCACCGCGACATCGCAAGAAGAACAAAAGGAGGCAGCAGAACATTTTCAGGTCAATGCTGCAAAATGTCAGACGGCCCAACTGCTGCGTCCGCCCCCCTCCCTCCTCTGTCCTTGAGTAGCACGGCCCAAAGATAGCCGACGTCCTCCCCTGTTTTTCCTAGAGGTCAAAATGTTTATCCCCGCGTCCCGACTGCAATACCGAGAGAAACATTGACCTGGTGATGATCCCTGTGAGTAAGTACGTAAACTCTGGAATGTTGTAGCATAACGAGTCCAAATACGTGTGATGTTTGTGATCAAAGAATGTAGGAAATATTATCTGAACGCGAACAACCCCAGATTTATTTTCTAGAAATAGATATTATATTAAAGAGATAGAAACTTCCGAAACTGATTTTTGAACAACGCGGGCAATAATAGTGAAGAAAAGCATGTATATTAGTTGAGATGCCGGTTGTATGTCCTATAAACGACTCCAGATCCTCACGTTGTACTGCACTGATCATAAAGATTCACACGTTACTTCCTGTTTCATTCGATGCGTTTCTCTGGTTTCCAGGCGTTTACAGCGGCTGTGTTTTTGTTTTCATTTACTTATAGTAAGTGATTCTGCTGTTCACCAAGAAGGGATAAAAATGCATATATATATACATATATACAGTATATATATATATTTATCTGCTGTTGATTCCTTGTTGTTTGTTTTTCTATTAAAAACCCTCAAAATTGGTTAACAATTTTCATTTCGCACGCATCGACTGAGACCCCCTGAGAAGAATTGTTTGAAACTACAGTTTAAAGACACAACAGCATCGAAATGTGTTTGTTTTGGTTTTTTTAACCATGGTGTTCCATATGCAGATGTGTGAAAAACCTTGTTGAAGGAAGTGACACAACATCAGAGCTGTGTGCCGGCGAGGTTACAGTGTGAGAGATAAAGTTAGACAAGGTGAAGTACCGCTGGAAAACTGCTGTAACTGCAGCACAAAATGAGCTCTGGGCTACTGCTAATGTTGGTCCAGAGCCAAAAACGTTCCTGTCGGCTGTTTTTGGCTTTACATATAGTAGTACTCATCGTAAATACTTCATTTATTCATAGGGGGCGTTGTTGAATTTTCGGTGAGAAACAAGAGTGTCTGTGAGTGTTTTTTGCTATGGATAAAAAATAGAAAACACCGACTGTTTCAATGTACATCAACCTGGCAAACAATAATAATATTTAATTATTGACCATATATCATTATTATTTCAAATTCTGCTCAGTGATAAAAGTCCAGAGTAGTTGAGTTTCTCTGCAGTATCTCTGAACCACAGCAGCATGTCACCAGGTCTACACTTTTTTGATAAAAGTCCAGAGTAGTTGAGTTTCGCTGCAGTATCTCTGAACCACAGCAGCAAGTCACCAGGTCTACACTTTTTATTTAAATCCTTAGGTCATGGTCCATGTTGCATTGCACTTGTGATGATATTCTGAGCGTGTCCCCATGACTTGCGTTGTTGTTTTTATCTGAGGCTCTGCACTAACGAGCAGCACAACAGCTCCAGTTACAGCATATGAGGCCATGTCTCTAACGACGCTGTATGTTTTGACAGATATACGGCGACCCCTGTAGTTCAGTCCCATAATTCTCTATTCTTTCGTTTAAAATTTTCTCCTAGAAACAAATGATATAATGAACATAACGAAACAATAGTCTGGATGAACCGATGTCGATGAGATTGCCCACCCGACTCCCCCCCCTCCTTTTTCCACACTCACCGTTGTTATTGTCTTTTCAGGCCTGTCTCTTGTTGTTAACGTTAGGACCGTGATCACACTCGGGTGGAGGTTTTTCTCAGCTTTCATGTGAGGAACAAAATGTCACAACCTGTTTGGAACAAAATGGTTTATATCATAACGTGTTCTGTTTGGCCAGGACTGACAGAGTTGAACTTTCTACTGGCTGAGACACCATGTCTGTCCAGACAGCGATGTTGTCCTCTTGTCCTCGTCCGCCTCAGGTAGATGGATCACATCTCATTTACAGAGTTGACAGTTTCCATATTAACGAGCTCTGTCGCTCACTGTAACTCCGATCGTTTCATCCCCTTTCACCCCGTCTTTAATTAGCAGTGTTGGATTTTTAATGACCTCTAGCTTGCTGTGTTACTTTGGACTGTTTTCTATGTGAAGGAGCAAATTAGATCTGATCTCATGTGGTGCTTAGACACTGCTGGAGGTTCATGTCAACGACAAGGAAATTGAATTTAAAAGCATCTGCAAAAAAAAAAAGTCACATCCTCGTTACAGTGTCTGGAGGACAGTGTTTGGCCTCCGTCAGTGTTCCGCTCATTTGCAGTGCAGTGCCGTGACTCTGTGAGTATTTAAAAAGGCATAACTCAAGCACATTATCACTGATTGATACATATCAGTCATGTCATGTAACGTCGGCCGGGGGGTCTGTGGGGGTGTGGGGCAATTAAATTAAATGTTGCTATTTCTTTAGTTGTGCCACAGCCTGAAAATTACACAAATATTTAATTGAATTTAATTTTCTTTATTTGTTGAGAAAAGCAGTTCTGTAGGAATTACAAAGTTTAAAAAAAAGTCAACCGTGGTTGACCAAAGCAGACAAACTGGAAAAAAACATTTATTTATTTATTATGATCTAAAAACTAAAAAATACAGCATGTGTACTTACTGTGTACTGTGTACTTTTTCAGCCCATCTCAACCTAAATGCAGGGGCTCCTCGGCGTACGTCACAGTTCCGTTCCTACAGTGCGCTGTAACTCGATTTTCACAGTAAGTCAGAACTCACATGTACTGTACATTAGTACCTACGTATGTCACTCAGCTACGCTAAGGCAAATGTAAACAAAGCCAAAGTTCCACGTACAGCGCCGGTGGCGACGTGTTTATCTGCTCTTCTCGGCAACTACTGTGCAAAGTGGAATGATGAAACAAGACTTTCTTAATAAATCTATGGGAGATGACGACGTAACCACAAAACGCCGAGGTCGAATAAGTTGTAAATGTAGAGATTTTTTTAAAAATTGGTACTGATAACAAATGTTATAGTTACAGAGGCAGCAGCAACAGCAGCAGCAGCAGCAACATGTAAAAGCCTGAACTAGGCTGCCACCGTGTCCTGGTACTGGGTTTGCAGTAACCTAGTTTATTTTGTACCACATCAGCATCTTCACACAGAATCCCAGATCACACACACAGATGCCTCCTCCCTGGCATGGATGCCGTTACATTTATCAGCGCCATCATCAGTATAATTATGTATCGCTCACCAGATCGGATCGTTTGTGAAATATTAGACACACTTTTTATCAGGAGGATGAATGTTAATTACCGTTTAGAAATAATTTCAAAGTGCAGCATGAGTAATTAGAGGTGGCTGGTCATCACAGTGCCACCATTTAATTGCGTGTAAGCCGTGCTCAAGAGATTTGACTGCTCACTGATTAGAGGCCTGATGTATTTCCAGTTCCAAACCATCAATATTTTTTTTCAAAGTATTTCTCTTCCTCCTCCTCCTCCTCCTCCCATCGTCTGCTCAACTCTTCATTTTCTCCCTCAGCCTCCATTTCTCTCTGTCCCAGATGTCGATTTCTTCCTTCAGTGATGATAATCACAACAAAAGAAGAAAAAAAAGCCAGTAACAGTGTGCTGGTGCAAACCTTCACTCTGCAGATGATTTCAACACCCATGACAGACAGATTCTCCTTCTCCTTCTCCGCCTCCGTTATCTTTGTGTTGTTTAAGCCTGGTAGCTGTGGAGGAGCTCGTCCTCCTGATGGCCGCTCTGGTCCCAGTAGAATATGTGGCCTACATTTGTTGTGCTGCAGTGTTGGGCTGCGAGTGTGTTCCTTTTTCACACACTCTCCGGTGTAGGTTGTGCATTGCTGCTGTTTCCTCAAGATCATTGATTCTGCATTGATGTTTTTTTTGTCGTTGTTGGGAAGATCATTGATTCTGCATTGATGTTTTCTCTTTTTTGTCGTTGGTTTTTTTTAAACCCCAGTTTCCTTTTTTTTTTTGACTTTTGTTTTCATAGCTGCACATACAGAACAGTTTGTTACCAGGATTTCTGAGCTCATCATTGATTGCTTTCAATTCAGCTCAGGAGCACGTGCCCTTTGGTAACCTCTGTAGCACAGCCTGCGAAGATGCACTTTTGGAAAAGGCACGCACACACACACGCAAACACACACAAAGGTCACCTTTTCTGGCTTCATTAGAGAGAGCTTTATTATGGCTGACAGATGAGCTCATAAATCATAGGTCCCCGGTGGAGTTAGAGAAGATCCAAAACAAGCTGAGCTCTGACAAATGTAGAGGAAGTACAGACACGCAGAGAAGAGAAACACAGACAAACACGGGAGAAAAAAAACCTTCAACTCGAGTTTATTTTAAATGTAAGAAATGAGAAGTTTGTTCCATGAGACTGTTTATTTCTGATTTTCGTTTTTTTCTTTTACTGTTATTATCGTCAGATTCCTCAGGGCTGCCACTCGAAAATGAAAAACTCGATGTCTAGGCTGTAGATCCATTTTTCCGAAGCCATTACTTCTGCCTGTTGGGGTGCTGTTTCAACACACTGTTTAACCAGTTATAGCATATTCATATGCAAATGAATATACGTACGGATGGCTGGAGGAGGAAGGGCCCTGGGTGTAATTGGTTTGAATATTCAGTGTTATATAAAAGGGTGACGTGTCTGGTTTGACAGCTGATACTGACACAACACTGGTCCCATGGGAGCTCTGTCAGGACCTGGATGCTGCAGCCGCAGCTCTGCTCTCCTGCAGAGACGTTGTCTGACTCCACATCGCTACAACTGCAAAACATCAGAGTCGTCAAAAAAACAATCGACAAAGCACGTTTAAAATAATGATTTAATATATATTATATATTTATATAATATAAATAGAATTCAATGACTTTCACATTTATATTTCTTATATATTTTTGTTTTTATTTACTTTCATAACAAGTTGAAAAAATAACTTTAAAATTACAATTTGGAATTTTTCTAAGATTTTACACAGGGTAAAAATATTACCCCAAGGTTTAGAACAGTGTCACTTAGTGGGGGTTGTTATTGGTTTGATTCCCCCTGTTTTCCTAAGTGTAGGATTTTTTGGCTGTTTTTTTCCCCCCATATATTCCTGTTTTCTTTTTTTTAACTGTTCACTCTAAATTGTCTATAGGTGTGGATGTGAGTGTGAATGTTTGCTTGTCTCTGTATGTGGCTCGGTGATGGATGTAGTATTAAAATATATCAGTAACATTAGAAATAAAAACTCAGTTTTCCGTTAGCCAAGAACTATGTGTTAGTGACTGATGTAAAAAAAAGATCATGTGAAATCACTCTGTGGAAAACTGTGTGTCAAATCCTTAATGAAGGGCAAAATCAAAATAGTAAATAAATCTCACCTACAGAATAAATATTCAAATTCAATTTGGGAAACCAAGTGGTGCCGATTAGTGGTTTCTCACTTTCATTTTCAATCTGATCACTTGAAAGATTAACCCAATCACCCTCAGGGGACTAAAGCGACATCAATACTCATTAACTTATCATCTTGATGACTTATGGCTCCGTCACATCTATCTCACATCTACACCTGAGCTCAAGGTTCACCTGTGCAGTTAAAGTTCAGCTCTGCCGCCACATTCTCCATGTGTCTGTAATAACGTGCTGGACGAAGCAGAGTCTGGTGAAACGAAGGACAGCAGACATGGGCTCCAGGGCTTTGAGCACCCTGGAAACAATTCTGGTATTTCTTTTTGTGGCCATGACCGGCGCCTGCATCGGCCTGATAGTCATCTACTTCGTGGACAAGGACGATTCCTCCTCCACACATATAGATGGTGAGTCTTTATTTACGTTAATAGAAGAATGGAGAAAGGTTCAAAAGGTACAAAAGGTTTTCATATTTGTTTGTAAAAATCCTCCAGGTTTTTGAAATGCTATAGTGCCATGTTTTTTTCATTAAACAATTTTTCTGTCTTCTTGTTATTCTTTCTCTCTGTTATTCTTTACAATTTTTCTGTCTTCTTGTTATTCTTTCTCTCTGTTATTCTTTTTCTTTGTCTTCAACACATTTTTATACTCTTTTCTTTTTTCAACCTTTTCTTTCTGTTCTTTTCTTATTTCTTCTTTATCTTCAACAAATTTTTATCTATTTTTTCCTTTGTCAACATTTTCTTTCCCTTTTTTCTATCTCCTGCATCTTCTTCTTTTTCTTCATCATGTTCTTGCGCTTCTTCTTCTTTGAGAATTATTGGGGGGAGTAGAGATGACCTCACCGCAGGTCTCTTTTGAGATGAGATAGTAGTAAAAAAGTCGGCCTACAGGATGTAGTGTAAGAGGAAAGGCTCACAGTGTCGTGTGGATCTCTCAACCTCACTCTAAATGTAGATGAAAACAAACACGCTTGTAGACTAAAGGAGAGCTGCCAAGTGCCATCACACACTGCTGAACATGGACGGTGCTGCCAAGGAACAGACCTGCCGTGTAAAATATCTGGAAGTACAGTTGGCTGACAACCTGTCCTAGAAAACCAACACCGTACAAGGTAGCTTTGACCAAGACAACCTCATAAAAACCACTGAATCCTCAGCAGGTCTTTATAGCATCATCAACAGCATCATAGCAAGAACAACAGGTGACAGTGAAAATAGTTAGTTTAAAAAACTGCAGTATCCACAGGGTCTGTTCATCATTAGGAACCAGACCAGCAGAACTGGGACATTTCCTCCTTACAATAATAATTAGTAATAGGTTACAGAAATATCTTCCAAATGCAACCTGTAAGATGCTAAATAGCTTAGCATTTAGCTCTCCAGGCTGTAGAGGTAAGTGCTAAGTAGCTTAGCATCTAGCTCTGTAGGCTGTAGAACACACAGGCCCTCCATCTTGTGAACTAGTCTCCTGTCCAGGTAAAATTCAAAAGAAAAACATTTACTAGTAGCTAACTAAGCTAACTAAGCAATCACACTTTTTACTAGGCCTAAAATATCTGCATCTTTTTTTTTATTACAAAAATGAATTGTTGTAATGTTTTTCTGTATTCATCTGCTTGGTGTCAGTGTAGTAACTACAAATTATGTACATGATTTATGTAAGTGTTTATTTGTTCATGCATGTGAAGAATTTGTCCTTGTTTTCTATGGTAAATAAGCAGAAAATAGTGTACACAGTAACTCTTGATGATCTTGATTTTGTAACACTTTAAACTCAGTGAGGTCATGATGCAGCAGCATATATAAAAATGTATTTTCTTTAGAGCCTTTGTGCTTTGACAGGAGAAAACATATCTTCAGATAAGGACATTAATCACATGAGCTGTTATCAGGGCCACCTGCTCTCTCCCCACTGTGATAAGTCCAACCTCACTTCTGCTGGGAAAACCTTTTAATATAAACACAATCGGGCAAATGACAATGACACCTATCTGGCAACAATTGTCTCTGGATGACTTATCCAGCGTGTGTCACTATTAAAATCAACTCCAAATAATAATTTTGTCCTGCTTCATGCTAACAGGGTTAATGTTGTTTTGTTTTTGTCTTTCATCTAAATCACCAGGACCAAACTCAGGCTGCGGTGGTCCTCGAGAGCTGTCAGAAGAGTCTGGCACTTTCACCAGCTTCAACTATCCAAGCAGCTATGACAACGGCAAGAGCTGCACCTGGCACATCACCGTGGATCCTGACAAGGTGACAGTGTCTTTGTTACTTCAACCAGGGAACACTTGAACGGTCGCACATTTGCATAGGTTCAACATTCCTTTCAGAGTGCCATGTTATTGCAATCACCTGTGCAGCACTGTTGAATTCACTTACCCTGGTTCTGGTCTCATCAGACTTTGACACATTCTTCTACCTTATGTGTCAAACTCAAGGCTCGCGGGCCAAAATGTGGCCCATTAAAAAGTGTTTAATTGACTTAATAATAAAGTCTGTGCTGCTGAGTTTCCTAACTTGATTAATTAAATATATATATGTGTGTATATATATATATATGTATATATGTATGTATGTATATATATATAAATATAGTATATACAGTCCCCCCTGGTGAAAATGGGTTTGACACCCCTGACCTACCTGCAGACTCTATGACAAGTCTTCTTTGAGTCTTTTTAACTTTTTTGAGATCATTATCTTCTAGGATTATAATTATTATGCCATCACATTATTTTTCCTTTTTTCTTGTCAAGATCTTTCTTTTTTTTTTTTTTGTCGTGACTTAGAGGTGCACATTGAAACAGTTTAGTCTATTCAGAGTCTCACGGTGCTGCCACATGGAGAGGAAGCAGAAGAAAGCAGTTTGTTCTATAATGCATGGCCAGGCTGAGGTTTTTCAGACTGATGGCTGCCTCGTCTCCTTCACTTTCCCTCAGCTGTCCTGTTCAAACCTGCAGCAAAAACCAAAATGTGTTTTTTTATACCAGCGTCACTGCAGTCCTGCTTGTTCTGTCTCTGCAGGTCACTTTGCTATCTTTAACACACAAACAGATACTGAAGACAAAAAAACACACCACACAGATGATGTGTGAACACACACACACACACACTTTTCTTGTCCTGATAACATGTGACACGTCTGTGTGTTTCCATCGCAGGTGGTCCATCTGTGGTTTGAGGAGTTTGCATTGGAGGAAGCCACACTGTGCACGGCAGACTTTGTCACACTGAGGGACTCCCTGGGAGTCATTGGTAAGAAAGAATCTCACATTAATTATTAGTTCCTCAGCCAGAGCAGCACCACGGAGCACGGAGGTGACAGAGACACGCCGATATTTGTAGATGGTGCAGCCGTGCACAGAAAATATTTCTGTCTTTTCTCCAGGCAGATACTGTGGTTACACCAAACCTCGGCCAGCGGTGTCGCTGACCAACCACCTGACCGTCTACTTTGACACAAACGACAGAAAAACGGACCAAGGATTCAAAGCTCATTACAAAGCCGTGACTCCGGAGCTCACCTCTGGTACGATGACAATATGGAAAATCCATTTTAGCATGAAAATCGTATCTATTCTGACATACGTCTACATGACAGGCTTACAGTACAGGCTTGACCTAGAAAGTTAAAGAAGTGTGGAGGTGCAGGAAGCCCTGAGCAGCAAAAGAAGGGAAATGAAAATGTGGTGGGTGGGAGAGGAGGGAAATGGATGTATGCAGGTATCCTGGTGGAGATTAAGTGTTCTTCATATCTACTGCCAGAAATAGCAGGAGCCGGTGGATTTCTCCAAGGTGACCAGGGGGATCTGATGACCCCTGACTTTCCTAAGCAGAACTACCCCAATGGAGCGTTGTACCAGGTACAGCCCACCTGCAAATGCCACGTCGTCGTGTATTAATGTCGGGGGGGTTTTTTTCTTTACAGTTGAAACATCGGTGACCTATAACTGAAGATTAAATTTACTTGACTCTGCACACATCAGTCCCTCCACATAATTCACTTCAAATATTTATTTAATGCATCCAGAACACTTCATTACAAACCTAGAAATTGAAATCTGGATCCAGATCCTAGATTCAAAGTTTCGACAATTTCAATGTTTTGTTTTTTTTACTGCCAGTGTGTTTTCATATTGATGTTTAACCGTAGGGTCACTGTCTTCTTTTTGTTTGTGTTTCCTGTTTATTTGTTGACTCAGTGGAAGATCACCGTTCCTGAAGGCGAGAGGGTTCGACTGACATTTACCGCCCTTGACCTGGTCCCTGAAGTCTGTGGAGACTTTGTTCAAGTCTTCGATGGTCATGAGGCTGGTTCATCTCTAATAGGTAGTAACAGCACCATCCATGTTCCAATTCTTTAAAAAAGACATTGTGTGCACGTTGTCACCTTTAAAACTGCTTTTCCTGTATGAAGGAAAAATCTGCGGGATGTCGCCTCCTAACCCACTGGAGTCCAGCAGGAACACAATGGTTGTCCGCTTCAAATCAGATGAAGCTAAGACTTCGAAAGGATTCAGTGCAACTTTCACAAAGACCAGCCTTCCACCGGTTGTTGTTTCCACGACAACCAAACCTACAACTACAATCAAAACTACTGTCAGACCCGTCACACAAACAACCATCCCACCAACAACAGGTAACACAGGGCCCCTGTGTTCCCCTTTAAACTCTAAACATGAAGTCAGAAATAGGTTAGAAAAGTCATTTTCACTAATAAGAACAAACCAAAGATTGTCTATAAGAAATGGACCTGAACGCTCAGTAACAAAATTAAATCCTAAATGAAGCCTCATAATAGACATGAAAACAATTTGCCTGTTGAACTGGAACCTTGGACTGAGGTTCCTGGCTCATTAATGGTGCATTTTTAGAGCTCCTTCAGAAAAAATCTATGGTTTTCAGACACAATTTCAAAGTTTCAAAACGAAGAAAATATATTACACCGTAATATCTATAAAATAGATTTTGAATATTATTAACTAATTATGGAAGGAGAGCCAGCTTTTTATGATAACGTTCCAGCCCTTACAGGGAGGAACATTTCACAAAAGAACTTGGCATCAATGGAAAAATAAATTGGCAGAGCCAGGCACAGAGATGTGCAGCCCAGTTGCAAAGTTTCCCAGTCTTCTTCTGGCAGTTTCCCTAACAGCTTTAATCAGGACCTGTTAGAAAACCGCCTACAAAAGGGTGAAAAAAAAAACATTTTATAATTTCCTATACAGTATGTGGAAAATACTATGATTTAATGACAACTAAAGAACTTAAAGATTAACTACATGCAAACGATCATTTGCTAAATGTCATTTTCCATCACTTTCACTCAGGCAGTGGCGGACCAGAGATTATCGAAGGACGTAAAGGTGTCATCCACTCCATGGGTTTCCCTAATGCATATCCTGCTCATCAGAACAGTTCATGGAGCATTACTGTGGCCAGAGGATTCCTGGTCAAGCTGCAGATCACTGACCTGGCCATCGCAGGAGAGACTGGACAGTGTAAAGAGGACAAACTCATCGTCTCAGATAAATACAGCGTGTTAGGTCAGTTGTTGCTGCTGATCTTGTTTACTAATTTAGTGGTCTTTTTAAGATGTAGAGCTACTGTATATGATATAATTCACATCACTGACACAAAAAAGGACTGACCATAAAATTCCTTATTTTTTCCTGAAATTTGACAGTTAACATTTGTTACAGAAAACAAAAACAAAAAACACGTTAAATCTTACAATTATAAAACGAACATTGGTGACATTTTTTAGAATTCTATAACAACAATCCAAGCTGTTAATAGTTGTTGGCCTTATAACTTAGATTGTATTAGTGTAACCTCTGTGCCAACCAATCATATAGCACATTGTGTGGCTAAAACTCCACCCACTCCACTTGCTGTAAAACTGATAATTGGGATTGTTGATCTTCTGCAAAGAGCCTGACCAACTATTATTATCCCTCTTTATGATTCACACCACTGGCTGCAGTGTGCCTCATCGAGGTTTATCTATTGCTGACTTATCAAGGACTAAGGCTGAGGTGCACAAGCTCTTTGGAAAAACAACACACACAGACACACACAGAGGCGTTGAGTGTTTAAGTGATCTATTATGTTAGATCAGTGTGCATGAGCTAGTGACCAAAATAGAAGCAGAAACTGTTCAGATTGCCAACAATATGTCACTTGAAGAGGTTTGTGTTGCAGGGGAATATTATCTGATTTTTTAAATAGATATAATACATGTGACTTCTCTTATCCAGTCAAAGCTTGCCTACATCAATTCAAGATTGGGCTAAGGAAATGTAGGTTTAAAATGTACAGTATGTATCTAAAAAATAATAGGCATTCATCGTCAAAATTAAATCTGGGAATAGCGTTAAAAGCAGAGTATGCGGCACTACGTTATACATTTTGCTATTGTGTACAAGACATAAGCGTTATACATTTTGCTATTGTGTACAAGCTATGTCAACATAAGGCATTGTTTCTCTTTTGGCCTCTGGGTGGTGCTAAGTGTGCAAAGCGAAAAGCCTGTTCCATTATTCAAGAGCGCTGTTGAATCTAAATGTACTATTTAATTATATTTTCCGACTCGGAAACAAATATTACAGTATTGAACATTGCCATTCTTGCCCCAGGGTATATCAAAATCTCCTTGTACAAGCAAAAAAAGAGTTTTTAAACGCATAATAGTCCGTTTCACCAAAGGTAAGTTGTGCTAGGCTAACGTGCTAACACCGTCCATCTTGTTTGTTCTTCTTTGCTTGACTTCACTTGTTGCTCTGCTTTCTGTGACTAGCATCGCTGCCCCAACTGGGTCAATTTTACACTTGTTAATATTTATGTGTCGCATTACTGTTGTACCTCGAACCTAAAGAAATATGTGAGAAAATGGACACGCACTAAAGAAAGCTAAGGAGGCTAACGCTAAATGACTTTATGTTTGTTTGTTTTTTCAAGGAAACCTACATATAATATACATAGGCTTACAAGTTGTTGTGCTTTCATGGTTACAATTACCACGTATTGTATGTGTGTTTGCTCAGTATATTGTTAACTGTTCCCGTCTCATGCTGCAGGTATAGATGAGATTATTGTCCAAGGGTTTAATGTCTGGTCATGGCAGGGACACATGGAGGCATATAGACTAGTGTCACATGATTAATAGTAGCAGCCCATAATAAAGATGTCACTCTCTAAATAGGAAATTGATGGTAATACCAAAGCTCTGTATTTTTGTGTAGAGTCACTTCACCCCTTTTACCCTTTAGCTGCCTCTGTGAATCATCCCTTCATGCTTCACTTCACTCTCCTCATCTTCCTCCATCCTTCTCCTCTTTGTCAGGTACACACTGTGGGTACCTCCTCCCCCCGGTGGTGGTCAGTGCCAGCGAAACACTCGCTGTCACCTTCCAGTCTGACGGTCGCCTCACAGACCGAGGATTCTCTGCCAAGTGGGAAGCTGTGTATCCTGAGGACATCGCAGGTACAGAGGGCTGACACACACAGAAGCACTTAATTACTCAGGAGCACACACACCTACACACACTCTCAGGCAGATCAGCACTTACTGATACTTATCACGAAATATCTTTCATCTCTGTCGTATATATAAAGGCAACAAAGCCATTGCGTAAGAAGAGTGAACTCCCAGAGCACCGCTCAGAGTACAACCTGACGCATAAAACAGCCAGATAAAGGGCTCTTATCTGTTTTTTATCTTGATAATTGGGCTTTAAAAAATGACACCAGACCCCATGTGTGGTGGTGAAACAGATATATTGCAGATTACTGTAGCAAAAAAAATGGCAAAAACAACATTATAAAATACATTTAATCTTCTTCATCTGCTCAATCTTGTAAAAGGTCGGGGGGTTGCAGAACCATTAACAAAACACAAAGTTCATTCTGGACATGTTGCCGGCCCATCACAATAACACTTGTATAACAATTGTAGCCACATTTATATAAATCGTTTAGATAAGTTAAGTAATATATGTATATACATAAATATACAAATTATTGCTAGACATTTCATTTTCTCATAATGACCTTTTGTAATCAAACAAACGTAATCTTTCTGATCACACATCCCCAGGGGTTTTTAGAAAACTTCCTTTTATGCTTTCAGAGATCCAAGGTTGTGGCTTCTCATCCAAAGAGACAACTGGGGTGATCAAGTCCCACAACTGGCCTATGAACTACAAGGCTAACTCTGAGTGCATGTGGAACATCGCTACAACTTTAGGGAAAAGTATCACGCTGTCTTTCACGCACTTTGACCTAGAAGCCAAGGACATTATCTCGTCCAAGTGCCTGGATAATGTAAAGGTGTATGACATCAGTGGCTTGACTAATGCACTCATTAAAACACACGGTAAGTACACTTAAAAAAATATTAATGAACTCAAAATAAGTTCCTAACAGAGAATGATGACCCATTTGATTCCATCGTCTGTAGGTCCGTTCTGTGGGAATAAACTGCCTTCAACCATTCAAACTAAAGGAAACAGGCTGATGATCCGGTTCCATTCAGACCCATTTATTGAGGCCAAAGGTTTCAGGGCTTATTGGACAACAGATCCTACTCTGCCTGCCCCCACAGAGCCACCTGTTTTGCCTAACCCCTGGGACGACATTCCCATAGGTAAAGCATCTGCACTGACACCATACAGTATCTGCCACGATCAAGTAGTATCGAGTGTAAAAACTGTATCTGTGTTCAATATAAAGACATATCAGATACTGTGCATTTTGAAAATATATTTGATTTGATAGTAGCCAATAGCAGAATAAAAAATAATAAACCAATTAAACCATTTAATATGAGAAACACTTTCTGTACTTTCTGATCAAATTAAAGTTGCAATTGTTTTCAATATGGACCACATCTACATGCTCTCCACTATTCTCTATATACAGTAATTAGCCACATAACGTTCTGAGCCATCCTGTGAGTATTGTCAATAATAAATTCACAATTCACAATTTATTTTTCTGGCAAAAAATACATTTTGTGAAAAAAACATTGCATTTATTTGGCCCAGAGATGTGTTTATCATTTACCTTCAGCCAGCTGCTCATGGATTTCATCTGTATTTTTGTATCTATTCTTCCTGCTTCTCCACACACACACACACACCTCTGTGCAGGGCTCAGAAGTGCAGTGAAACAGGGTACATTGGTGTGCTGCAAATACAATATGTAGTGGCCCATTGCTCTGCTTTCCCTTTAGTGCACGCTGTCACCTGATTCCCATTCCTCACACTGCGATAAGCCCCAGGTGGTTCAGGCCTCTGTCCAGCCAATTGCTGTAATAGAGTTTTATAGAAAGACTCTGCTGCCATTTTTTTCCCACTTTGGCTCTGACCAACGATGGCCTCCGTGTCTGGGGAGGGAAGGTAAAAGAGAGATTAAAAAGAAAAATGTTGAAGGGTAAAGGGACCAGAACAAGGACATCAGCTGTTTGGACCTTCATCACAACGGTATATCTTTATATATACACAGTGATATTCGCCGTTCTGAGTCAGTGTCTGACTCTAGGGACATTAAATGATTTCCTCCAGCACAGGATTTAATCTTTTAGCTGCAGATACAGCCCTGAGAGTTTATGAAGTCATCTGGGTTGTTGTTTTTTTTTTTCCATTTTCATAGACTGGCCAGGTACATGTGGCAAACCAGCCATTCCTCCTGCTGTTGCATCTCGTATTGTGAACGGAGAACCAGCCAGGCCACACTCCTGGCCCTGGCAAGTGTCCATGCAGGTGAGAAAGGTCACTCACAAACACTGAGAAATTACAGAGAGAGGCTGTAATCTTTGCATAACCTCTTATCTCTGCCATGAATCTCATATAATAAATGCATGTTTATTTACGGTATAAAAAACCTGCGTGTTAATTTCCCCGTAACTGAGCTGCTTATTTGCCCTCGTATGTTTCAGGTGTGGCCTGCCAGCCGTCCAGAACCTCAGTTTTCCCACACCTGTGGTGGAACTCTTATACATAAGAACTGGGTGCTAACAGCAGCCCACTGCTTCATCAAGTAAATGTTCAGTTTTTTCATCGCACACTATCATAGAATAAAATGAACTGTCATTTATATAGTGAGTGCAAAACAAAGAGCTGTGAAATTTAAGGACAGTTCCGATCATTTCCAGTAGAGGGCTTTTTCAGTCACAATTTATTTTTTAAATTTAATATATAATTTATTTTAAATAGTTTATTTATATATTGATATGTGTATGTGATTTATGTTTTGTCCATTATTAAATATCATGAACACATATTTTAGAAATTTAAATTGTTAAAACCAAGAATATTAAATTCAGTGACCTCACCGTATAGTGTACCATTATCAATATATCCACTCCTCTTTTATCCAGCTACGCTGATGAGCTAGAGCGCTGGCAGATGTGCTTGGGAAAACACAACCTAACATACACAGAGGCCAGTGAACGCTGCTTCAATGTGACCGGAATATATCGTCATGAGGGTTTCAAGTATCCCACAGTGCCCACAGTGGAGTTTGACGTTGCCCTGGTCAGACTGGACGGAGAGGTTGAAACCAGTGACCAGATTTCTTATGCATGCCTGCCCACTGAGGAGGAGGTCCTGGCTGGAGGCAAAATGTGCTACGCCAGTGGCTGGGGAGACGAGACGGGTGAGGGCTTGACTTTCAATGATCAACCAGAGCAGATTTGTATCATTATGTTTAGGTAAAAACTCGCTTTTTAAAGGCACAGTTTGTGTGACTTAGCAACATCTAGTGGTCACGATACATGTTGTAAATCAAAAATATAGGTCATAATTTAAGATGTAACAAAACAAAGTAAGTCTTTTATAATTAATTTGGGGTTATAAGAAATCGCAAATATAAATTTAAATTCTTCTTAAGTCGAAGACTACAACTATGAACGTCATCTGTAGACGTGTTCATGTTCCTCACACCTTCATTTTCATTTTCCCTGTGTCTTTATCAGGTAATCCACTTACTGCTAAGGTTGCAGAAGCTCTAAACCAGGTGGCTCTGCCTGTGGTGCCGTATGACACCTGCAAGAGGATGGACTACTGGTGGTTTCAGGTCAAGACCTCCATGATCTGCTGTGGTTATACTCTACCTGATGAACTCAAGTCTGTCTGTCAGGTAAAATAAGACCATGGGACATCAAAAACATCACATTTGTACTTTTCTTTTTTTTCTAAGTTTATGCAAATATTGCAAAGCCAGTGATGTTTCTTTCTGTTGTTTCCAGGGTGATTCTGGTGGACCACTGGTGTGCCAAGATGGCCCTGGTCAACCTTGGGAAGTTCATGGCATCACCAGCTTTGGTCCAATTGGTTGTATTATGGACAAGAAACCCTCAGTGTTCACCCGCTCCTCTGCCTACCTGCCCTGGATCAACAATATCATCCGCAGAGACATCTACAACAAACACGGTCAGAAATGACTTTGTTAGAAAAATAATTAAAAAAATAAATGTACAAAAGCATAACCTTTTCCCCTCTCCTCTAACCTCCCTGTGCAGTATCTGGTTGTGGAGGACCAAGGGACCTGGTTGGTGTTGGTGGAAACGTATTCTCCATGAATTATCCAAACAGCTACAGCAACAAAGCTCGCTGCCAGTGGAACCTTCGTGTACCAGACGGAAAAGTTGTTCATCTTCAGTTTCACAATTTCTCCCTGGAGGAGAGTCAGCTGTGTTTAAATGACAAAGTCAGTCTCACAGACAGACTTGGAACTCTGGGTAGGTTTTCATTTTTAAACAAAAATACAGATACGAGTACTTACTAAAATAAAGTATTTAAACATACAGTATAATCATCATAAAATCTATGACTAAGAGTACTCAGACACTTGCTGATGTGTAACTGTTCTTAGGAACGTTCTGCAGTCATGTTCCTCCCAAAGCTCTGGTCAGTGATGGAAACACACTTCACATCAGCTTCTCGTCCAACGACAAGGTGGTGGATACAGGCTTTATTGCCACCTGGCGGGCAGTGGACCCTACAGGAGGTAAAACCAACTTAAACCAGCTAGTTAATTATTAAGCTTCACCCAACATAATTGTTAACATTCAAAAATGTCTTTTATTTTATTTTATTTTATTTTTAGAGCTTGTAGATTTTTCAACGACTGGGCTAAAAGAAATAATAATAATATCACATTGACATTGACAGTGTCTCCTTAAATAATTAATGGTCTCTCTTTTTTCCTTCCCGACACATCCACACACTCAGGTGCCTGTGGAGGCAGCTTCAGCACTAACCAGGGGGAATTCACTTCTCCTAACTGGCCCAAAGACTACGAGGCCCAGTCCGTGTGCACTTGGAGAATCACCGTTCCATCAGCCAAAACGCTCCATATAGGATTCAGTCACTTTGAGCTTCAAGCTCAAAACATTTTAGGAAAGTGTGTGGACTACGTAGAGGTCTTCAACGGAGCCACCATGGCATCACTGGGTTTGTCAACCACGCAGCAATTACTGTTGGGATTGTTTTGTGTCCCGCTCACACTTATCTTAAAACCACAACAATTTTCTGTCTGTTTTTCAGGTCAATTCTGTGGCTTTGCCCCACCCTCCAACATGACGGTGCCCACCAACGTGGTTGTCATTCGCTTCCTCAGTAATGGAGCCAATCAGCAGCAGGGTTTTCGTGGGTACTGGACCACTGACAGCAGTATTGTCCCAACGCTGCCTCCTCCCAGTACTAACCCGTGGGACACTTTAACCATTGGTGAGTCATTTAGGCATACTGCAGCCAGGTCCTGGTGTTCTGTGGTGGTGTTTATCGCGCTCCTACATAGTATAAACAAACCCTGAAGCTGTTTCCTTTATCTATTCAATGACAGTTTTACATGATTTTTTTTTTTTTGCTCTTCCCAGACTGGCCAGAAAATTGTGGAAACCCAGCGGTGAAGCCGAACACAGAGACCCTGAGGGTGGTGAATGGAGTGGAGGCAATCCCACACTCCTGGCCTTGGCAAGTCTCTATGCAGGTGACGCCAACTCCTGTGTCTCTGCGGGCCCCAGTGATGAGAGATGAGAGACAAAAGAGTTTTAATTTAAAATCTGTTTTCTCTTTTTCTCTCTCTTCCAGGTTAAGCCATTCTCTTTCACGCCATACTTGCACAACTGCGGAGGCTCTTTGATTCATAAGGAATGGGTCCTAACAGCTGCTCACTGTTTCATGGGGTCAGACATACAGTACTATTTTCCCAGACGTACTACGAGTTTTATTAGTATGAGTTATTCTGTAAAAATGGCCTATTGGGCTTGATCAACAGACACTAAGCATGATGGGTAATCATCTATTCTCCTCTACCCCTGGTGTTACATTTATACTAGACCAGTACACATACATATATACTTAGTAACCTACTAGAGTCCAGTGTTGCTTCTTATCAAGGTAAACCATTTTAGTAGTAGTAGTAGTAGTACAGTAGTAGTATTTTCTCAAATATACTTCTTCTTCTTCTCCAGGCCTTTCAGTAACTCCTCAATGTGGCGCATGTGTCTGGGCAAACACCACATGAACTCCTCGGCGGACGTTCCCTCAGCAGAGGAGTGCTACCCAGTGGACGGTATTATTATTCATGAAGGGTTTGTTTACGAGGAGGATAGTTCTGACATTTCCAATGACATCGCCCTGGTCCATCTGACTAAGCCAGTGAATATGACCAGAGAGATCAGCCCCATCTGTCTGCCCAGGCTCGGAGCTGTGATGCCTGCTGGAACCGCCTGCTTTGTCACAGGATGGGGAGATGAGAAAGGTAGAAGTTTGGGTTTAGGGATGACAGGAGTCATGTGTTTGTTTTTTTACTGATAGATGTGTTTTTGCCGACGTTGTGCTTTTGTTTCTTGAATATAAACTATGATGATGTGATTCTTTTTTAAAGTTGCTGAACCATAGGTGTAATATATCCAAATCCTTAGTAATATTTGACTTCAATAGAAGGATGAAAATTAATTAAGGTGTGGTTTTATCAGATACCAATACTGTGTACAGTCAGCGCGAGGTTGGTGCGCCCTCTGCTGGTTTCATTTCATTTCATTCAACAGGAAGTCAACAGCGGACTCGTTTTTAAAGTAATTAAAATAATAAAAACTGTTAACAATATACAGTAACTTCTTCCATTATGATCATATTACTGTTTTGGGGTATTTGTTGCAGTGCAGAATGTGCAATTATTGAAAAAAATATATTTTGCAGAATTTCGTCTTTTTTCTTATTGTTTAAGAAATTTAAAATTCAAAAACAAAGTTAGTCAAAGGTCCACCATGTTGCACCAATATCTGTAGTGAGAGTTAGCTCTTTTTTTTTCACTTGGTCTATTTTGTAAAATTTGCGAAAGAGGAATTGCATACATGTCAATGACAACTTACTCTACTTTTTCTTAGGAAGTTTAATTCCAAGTGTAGCAGAGCAGCTGAATCAAGCAGCTCTGCCCATCGTTGACTTCGACACCTGCAGTAAACCTACTTACTGGTGGGACGTTCTCCGGCCGTCCATGGTCTGTGCTGGATACGAGTCTCCAGATGAGCTCAAGTCTGCCTGTCAGGTGAGTGAGCTGCAGAGGAAACTGGAAAAGACAACTCAGTTTCACCTAAGTCTCTGAATGATGTCGCTGTTGTTGTTTGTTTTTTTGTTTTTTTTTTGCAACGATCTTCAAACTACCCTCCCCGACAGACAGTCCATTCTGTTGACCATTATGTAACCTTTGTTTTTGGTCACTCAGCCCTGGTTGCAAATATGTGCAGGCAGGACAACACGGGGCATAGTTTACCATAATAAGCAACTGTTCATGTACAGTCCTGCAGGGAGAGCCAACAGTTGTCAAAATTCAAGATAAAACGTATTTATAGAATTGATATATAATTTGGTATAATTTATATAATCAAACGAATAACAGACTTAATGCATTAAATTATATTCTACTGTTTCGGATGTTCCGAATATATAATTTCTCTTAGGGTTCTATTTGTGACATGACCTTTTAATTCAAATCTAGCTTCACATTTTGCACTTTGTTTTTACTAAATTATTTCTTTTACTAAAAAAAAATCCTCAGATTTTTATTTCAGACCAATATGGATAGAAATGAAACTTAGTAGATCTGGGGAAAAATAATTATTGGCAGCTACTTAATGTCCAGGCTGATATTATTGGAACATGTGCAGAGGAGGATGAAATGAAGATGTTTATTAATAAATATTAGTTAATAATTATTTATTGACCTGGGGGGAGTTGTCTGTGTTTCTGATGTCCGCCGGTGTCTGCTGGTTAATTCTCCTGCCCTCCTGCAGGGTGACTCTGGAGGTCCGTTCTCCTGTCGGTCGGCTGAGAACAGCACCACCTGGGAGATCCATGGTGTGGTCAGCTTCGGACCTCGGGGCTGCATCAAAGACAAGAAGCCGTCTGTGTTCACCCGTGTCTCTGCCTTCAGTGCCTGGATGTCCAACAACATCAAGAAGTTTATTTATGAAAGTTCCAAACCAGTGTCGTGAATAGGATTTTAACAGTGTTTGTTGTACAATGCTATCATTTTTAGTTACCAGATAAATTAGCAGTTTAATGTAAAAAATGTTTTAAATAACAGTTTTAACTTATGTTGCTATTATACTGTTTGATTCAAACTAATAAAGTCCCTTCAGTTGCTGTTAATGTGCTTTGTGACTTTTTTAGGTCTCCACCCCAGAGCTCAGAGGTTCCCTCCTTCTTTCTTCCCCGCTCTCATTTGCAGGCAGATGAATCCTGCAGGCACAGATTTAAAGTTCTGGGGTTTTGACCACATGACCTGGCGGCTCAGCCAATGGCAGAGTCTGGCTCAGATTTCAGCCTAGGAGAAGAGAGAGGAGAATAAAGAGGGAGGAAAAGAAAGAGGCAGTCATTAATCTGAGTTCTGCCGGTTCACTGACACAGCTTCAGACTCCTTTCTCCAAGCTGGATTATCTGTTCTTGTTTGTTTGTTTGTTTTTTGGGATTAAGTTGATGGCTTGTTATGGAAAACAAGCCATTCCCACTTCTGGGAAAAAGTCAAAAGTTTGTGTTGGCACAGAGTGAGGAGGACGGGAGCCAGTAACAGTTGTTCACCTCATCTCTTCCTCCACAGCCTTCTTCTTCTTCTCCTTCTTCTTCTTCTTCTTCTGTGAAATGGGGGCCGGAGCTATGACCATCTGTGTGAGTACAAAGACAGAGTTAAACTCAGAAATCTTCCCACTAACGCTGTGATTAAGGGTTAAAGAATGCATCACGGAGCTGTTCCAGTCAGTGTCTGCACTTTTCTTCTGAACTCACATTGACTTCACGACAACGTGCTGTAACTACACTTCTTTCTACGGGTGCTTCAGTAAATGGGTCACAACTGTTTAAAACATACTTTAATGGGACTCCTACTGCTGCTCGCTTCACCCTGCGGTCTATACCTGTCATTTTTTCCAAGCAGCGGTGACCACAGCTGTGAGGTCACTTCTCAGCTGTGGAGGAAACTGTGTTCACACGGTGAATTAAAAACTCTGCAGCAGCAATAATCTGTCCACAGACACGACTGAGGCTAAAACACAAGCTGTTTCTGTGAGCCATGCAGCTGTTGCTTTTAAGGCTTCTGCTGCCAGTTGCTGCAGTGACCACCCACAGAGAGGAGGAGCAGGAGGAGGTAAAAGAAGGAGGTGAACACATGCTGGGGCCTGTTGTTTTACATCATGAGTTTCTGTCCACATTCTGGGCTATTTAAAAAAAAAAAATCTTGTTGACAGTCTCGCTCAGGATAAGCATCTTAACCAGGTATTTTTTGACAAGGCCAAACTGTCATGTAAAGGCTCAGAGCAGTGGTTCTAAAGATCAGCTCAATTGTCCCATGACAATAGAGTCTTTTCACACGGTCAGAATTTGTGGTGTGAAAACATTGAGGTAATGAGGGAGAAGGGGAAGAGGATTGTTACCATCCTGGAATACAATAGACTTCTCAGGAGAGTGGGAAATGAGAGGGAATTCTTGGTAATTGTCTTGATCTCAAGTCAAGTCACTGTGTGTTTATTTATCACATTTAAAACAGTTGACAACAGTTCTGTAAACACAGAAAGATGGAAACATTACGTCAACGAGTAGCTGATTATGGATCAATGAAAATGATCACGAATTAAGAGCTATGATGGAAATATTGTAAAAAAAAAAGTTCAATTTGGATTAACAAATATGAAAAACAAAAATGTATTTAATTGAGAGAGAGACAAGAAATTTACTGAATGACTATTTGAACATCATCTGCATAAAGAGTCATGTTGTGTATTCAACGTGTGTGTCTGTGTGAAATAGACTGAGGCAGATTAATGAGACGTTACATTACCCGTCTAAACCGTTTAAATACATCAACTGTCGGTCAGTTTCACTAATTACTGTTTGTCAGCAGGTACAGAGCAGTAAAAAAAAAAAATCAACTTAGCTGCACCGTTGTTGACATATTTTCACACAACAGTCAGATACATAGCTTGTTTAAATCAGTTAAATCAGTTATAAATATATATATATATATATATGTATAACCAGAGGTAGAAAGTTACGAATCACATTTACTCACGTTAATGCAATTCAGTCGAGAGATTTGTAATTTTTTTAGGTAGTTTTTAGGTACTTTACTATTTATATATTTATACACATAATATATATGTGTATGTATGTATATATATATTTACATACCTTTAAGTCACCTTTAAATAAATGTAATTTCACTGTAGAAATCGCATTTGTTCAAACTGACATAATACATTTGTTTTGATTTGTTAGCTAAAGCTAACATCTGACGTCTCTGTTCTACATCCACCAGTTGCCACCGGTCCTGGTCAGGGCCTCTCGTTCCGGTCAGTTCACTCGTTTACAGTGGTGAACCCTGGAATGACAGGATGTCACATGGTGCAGTTGTTGCCATGGTCACAGGAGTGAAGCTTGCTCTGAGTGCGAGTCGTGGACAGGAAGTCCTAATGACCCGCAGTGTCCGAGCTCAGCCTCTGGTTTGTGTGTCTTCTGTTGTGCTCTTGGTACCGGCTTATCAGAGAGTAGAAATGTTCTGTGCTGAGATGTAAAGGCACAGGGAGACTGAAGCTCACTCTTATCTGTGTCGACCTCAGTCTAGTACTGTTGATTTAAGAGGACTGGGAGTGGAACTGTGAGGGCAGGTCTATAAAGTCTGTTTGCCTTTTTCGTCCAGGTGTCTTTGTCACTCTGGCAGTGCTCCAAAGGTGTCGCGTAGTAACCTGACATTTGTCGTAGCAACACATGCACGGCCAGCCCTGCACTTCCTCTTCCTCCCAACTCTCTGTACACATGCACTCAGTACACTGTGTTCACTGTGTTCATGGCACTGCCAGCCCAGCATCACGTCCATGACACAGACGGGCGACTCAGGAATACCTGATGCCAGTCACGGCAGCTGTGCAGTCGGTGGCTAACTGCTGCTGCTCTCTGCTCTTCTCTGTGCAGCACAGCAAGACAGCGGTGCAGGTCAAAGAGGACATGAAGAAGATGGTGCAGATACCAATACTGAAACCCAGGCCCATGGCAGCGAAGCAGGTCAAGTTGTTTGGAGTTCCACTGCTGGTTCTGAAAGAGAAGGGCCTGGTGGAGGACGGTGTCCCCCTGGTGGTGCGGAAGATGGTGGAGCATCTCAGGAGCCACGGTAAGAAAATACATACTTTGTATTGATTTAAAACTCAGTTCAACTTTGACTCTATAGTTCTTCCCTTCTCTTTGATGTCATGAATTGTCATGATAATATTTTTTACTACATTTTAGAATGTTTAAATAATAATTTTCATCATTGTCCAGCAAGGAATAATTTATCAAAATATTGAGCAAAAAATCAGATTGTTAATTATAATTTATTAATTATTTTATTATATGTGTCTGAACCATGGAGTGGCATGAGAAGTTAGTTCAGTAAGTGTATAAACAAATCTGTGCATTTCTAAGGGAATTTGTTTTTAAACATGAAAAACCACAACCACCTCAAAAGTATCAAATCTAAGACAACCACAACCACCTCAAAAGTATCAAATTTAAGACTTTAGACGTTTCATTATTTAGGATCCAACAATATGCTACTTATATTTTTGATACGGAATATTTTTGGAAAAATCTTCTATTTTTTTCATTCAGATTGTGTTTTCAGTGTCGCTAAATCTTTTTATTTCCATGACCAGCTTTATGTCTTCTGTAATTCTTCTAGTCTTCCACTAGACGGCAGCACACGATTTTTAAACTTCCGGTAAATCCAACTGCTATGTGAATGACGACGATGATGATGCTAATGCAGAGCGGAAGTTTTAGTTTAGTTTAGTTTCTTTTTTATCTCGTTTCTGGTCTACCAAGTCTCTTTTCTGTTAAATTACTATGATAAACATACATATTTATTTTGTTAAAGAGTCAACCTCTGTGTTTACGACTGAACACAGAGATATGAACTTTGTTTTCTGACTTACTTCTCAGCCCTGTATCAGGAGGGTCTGTTCAGAGTTAACGGAAATGTCCGGGCTGTGGAGACGCTGAAACAGCGTCTGGAAGGAGGGGAGGACGTGGACCTTCTCTCCGAATGTGACACGTGCACCGTGAGCAGTCTGCTCAAACAGTATCTCAGAGACTTACCAGAGGGTCTGGTGGACTCAAGGGTTCAGAAGGCCCTGATACAGCACCACCAAGGTGGACAAGACTCTGATTCTGACATTATTATTATTATTATTATTATCTGATACTAATTGTGTTGCTAATAATCCTAATAATCCCAACATCACATGTTTTGTCTGTAGGGTGCGGTGATGATGGTTCCTGGGCAGATTTCAGAGACCTCCTCCAGGGGCTCCCAGATGTTCACCTCAGCCTCCTCCGCTACCTCTGCCACTTCCTCACCCTGGTGGAGAGTCACCACAAGGACAACCGCATGACGGCCCTCAACCTCGCCACGGTCTTCGGACCCACTGTGTTTCAGTGAGTGTGACCCTCTCTTATTAAACACATCTCATGTACACCTCACCTCCAGTTGACATCACCAAGCCTTCACATGGCCTTAAAAGGTTAAAAGAGAGAGAGCACCAAGCTGACACACAGTCATGATAACACATGCGTGAGGATCTAGTCATCCTCCCAATAAATCTGCTTTACCGAACCAGGAATGAATCAGTGGTTAGTTGAGCCAGAAGGTTAACCAAAACGTTGTGTGTTGGACCGTAGACGCTCACAGATCACGTGGCAAAAATAGAACATGTTGTCAAGAAAAACAAATGCAGCACAGGCATGTATGATGGTCACTATTTTCACAATAAAAGATGAGGTAATGACTGCATTGACTGAAAAAATATAATACTTTAGTTTACACAAAATATGAGTTTTAAAGTCAATGTAAAAAAAAAAGAAAGAAATGTTTTTAGATACCTACCAGCAGATGGCGCCGAAGCTCCATTAAACATCTTTAATTGTACACTGTCGTACAAAAATGTGTATTTGTCAAATAATAAAAATTTATAAAAAAGAAAAGAAATGTGGTTCACCTCTTTCTGACATCAAGTTTAAATAAATTAGGTCTAAACAGCTCTTAAACTGCTGACAATTTTAATTTCAACATTAAATTACATGATGCAGTCATTTCTGGTATAATCTTCTGTGCACACACTGAGTCAGGTGCAGTTGTTATGAGGGGCTTGTTTTTCCAGTACATGTTTTTCCAGTACATGATGGGTTTGTACTGAGACCTTCCTGTCAGCCGGCTGCTCTGTCCTCTACACCAGTCGATGAAAAGAATCTCCCTCTAAAAACACCTGCACTGATAAATAACCCTGCATATAAGTGACGGAGAAACTCTACTGGATACTGTTTCACGTACTCACAGCCTGTTCTCTTCATCACAGTGCGTACTCCAGTACCACTGTGTATTTGATGTTGTATATATTTAGGGCTACAGTTTGGCCTGATGCCCAGTAGAGTTGGTGTCACACAGCTGTCCACTGTGGCAGCAGAACACCACACATGCCAGTGGTGAAGCTGAACCGTGCTGAGTTAATCAGGTCAACAGAGTGAAAAGTAAAAACTTTCCATTTCTGTGTCAAAGTAGCCGGGGTTTGATCAATGGATCAATGGATTGTGGGAACAAAGTTAGGAAACAGTTCATTAATCCTTAATTGTTCCACTTTTTTGTTTTTTTGTGTTCTAGTGTGACTCCGAGCTTTGAAGCCATGAAGGACCAAAGTATCTGCAACAAGATCATGGTGAAGCTCATCCTGAACTACAGCCATGTGTTTGAGACCCGTGAAGGCAGCACAGAAGAGCTGCTTTCAAAAACCACAGTCAAGGTGTCGTACACGCTATCACTCACACGCCAGCTGCTAATGTTTATATGGAGATGTGCTGCTGCTGCTGCTGCTGCTGCTGAGGCTGCTGAGGAGGCTGCTGCTGCTGAGGCTGCTGAGGAGGCTGCTGCTGCTGAGGCTGCGTATTTACATGATGTAGGACAAACAACTAGAACTGAGTCAGGTGTCCAAAACAAGCGTGAACTCGGTCCCTGTTTTTAAACCACCGGCACATTGAACGTGAGGGGATTTTGTTTACAAACGCGGCTCAGAACTGTGTCAGTCCGACTGAAATTGATCCCTGCATCGATCGTTCTCACAGCCTTTCTCCTCCACAAGTTTCTGCGCCGACGTCTCACTTTTTGATTCAATGCTGCTGCATAAACAGCTGACGTCTCCACTGGTCAGCTGGTTTGTCTGGTCTGATGGTTTCCCTGCCGGGATCTGGGATTTGGATTTGATCCCTGAGGATTACAATAACAACCTGCTTAAAAACACTTAAATATATCTATTGAAATCAGTTATTAAATAAAATTATTTATTAAACAAACTACTAAATATTCTGTAGTGGAGGAAATATTAACCAATTTATGTATTAAATAATTTTAATTTTAATAAAAAATACAAATAAATAAAATAAAATAATGCATTTTACAAACAATCTAAATATACCTAATAATAATTAATGCAGGGAATAATAGAAACTAATGGTAAAAATATATAAATAATAGTTTTTTGGGTTGAACTTTTTAAGTAAAAACAAGATAAAACAGACAACTTCCTTCCGAGCGTCCATCTTTGGACAGACATTCTCCCTTCACAGTGTCTTCATTGTTGATGGATGACTGTGTGCTCTGCTGTGAAATGTGACTCTGGTCATCTGATGCCAGAGCAGGGGCCAGCAGGCCGCGATCAATGTTGTCTGACCCGCTCACTTTCTCCAAGCATTTTTTTAACATCGTCACACAAACCATAGGTCAGGTTCTCAGGTGACTGTGTGCCGGGCAGAAACCAAGGAAGAGGACGTCCCAGTGATGTCAGACGTCTTCAGACACAGAGAACGATTCAGTCAGAGACGAGGATCTCTGCAGCCGTCGGTCAAACGCTGAAACACTGTCACCCTGTCACCGAGTCGTTTTTATGAAACATTTCCCATCACTGATGTCGGCGCTGTTGTGAACGCCTGTAGGGGGCGGGGTAACATGAGTGCTGCTGACCCATGGGAAACCCCTGAGTCAGATAAGATCCTCTTACACAAATGCATGCTCACATGCACAAATCCACAACATATATGCAGACACACACACACACACATCCAGTGAGGCCCCAGTGAGCACGCGTGGTCGCGGGGCCAGACTTTACTGCGTTACATTCTGTCGAGCATTCGCTGAATCCAAAGGTGTTTACGTGGGGGTCAGTAGACGAGGTCGCCTCTTCACATCTATTTTAAAATCAGTTGCCGGGACATTGGGAAGAAAAGCGAACACAAATGCGTGTACTGTGAAATGTACATATATATATACAATTAAAAAAACATTTTAATATTGATGGTATAATTTTAAATTCAATATGAATCTGCAAATACTCTGCAAATAGTTTAAAAAAGTTTAAAGTAAAAAAAAAAAACCCAAAACAAATCAAGCTAACTAGGCTAAATTTTAACCCAAATTTGGTCGACAAAAATAGTCAAGAACTCAGAAAATTTAGCCCTCGAAAGCTAAGGGAATGCTAACAACTTAGCAAAAAAAAATTCAAAATGTTACTGAGAAAAAAAATGTACAATGTGTTTCCTGTCTCCTGTTCTACTCCTCTGCTACAGGCAGGACATTTTACATATGACCTCCATCTTTGTCCTCTTTCTTGTCCCAGCAGACGCAGGTGACAGATGTCGACACAGAGACGTCACTCACCCACCTCCCTGCAGTGTCACCCACACCAGCTCCCAGGACAAAGGTGCGTGCTCTGCGTTTCTGCAGCAGACGTGCACGTGTGCATTTTCACGTTGTCTGACTCAGTGACGCGCTGTTGTTGTTCAGGCCTGGCGTTTCCAGGTCAAACCTGCATGAACTTTTCCAATTCCCTGACGTTGTCTAAAACTAAAACTAGCCACGTGTTCTCTCCACCGCCGTCTGAACTCAACCAACAACAATGGATTTCTGTGCAGTTTCCTGTGAGCTGTAAAGATATGATCAGTGTTGGTTGATTTGTAGTTGTATATTATTACAGCCCTTAAACGGTAATATAAAATTATAAACACTGAGAGTTAAAGTATAAAATTATTATAATATTTATCCCTGTTTTTATTTTTTTCTTCATGTACATTTTTAAGGTTGGACAAAAAGGCGCAGAATATGCAGGACCACGACCTACGACCTCCGATAAACCTTCACACGACAGACCGAGGAAGAGAAAGGTGAATAACGGTGAAACGGCGTTCTTTCCCTTTTGTTTTCTGTGACGGTTCACCTCAGCCTGGTTCTCACTCCTTTCAATATTTTACTGCCGTCTTATCCCACCTGTTGCGTCGGTGCTGATAAGCCTGAGGTCAGCTCTCAGACAGAACTGATGACTGTGAACCCGCTGCTCAGTCACATGACGGGATTTGATAAAGGCCGTCTACTGCAGGAGTTCAAGAAAACAGACGGAGGCAAAACATGCTCCTGTCTGGGTTTTTATTATCAATCAATGCTGAAACAACAACTGCAGGTTATTATTGGCATTGAACTCAGTCTGTGGTGAGATTTATACACAGATTTGTAACACAGGTCAGTGGGTCAGGAGGGTCTTTCTCTTCACACGTGGAACTTCACGTGATGTTTGTCACTGCGTTCACCAAGAACAGGTTTACCTGAAAACTGAGAACCTCGTCTTTAATTTGCATTTCCACATCATTTACATACATTTTAATCTTCAGATCACTCAAAGTTGTCACAGAAATGTGTGAAAATATACACTGGAAAAATAGAGCCAAAAAATGAATTGGTCAATGCAGAAAACAACAGATTCACCACTTAAATAAATGGATAAAATAAAATCCAGTTTTAATTACATAAAGTCATACATTTTAAAATATACTTATTTACTTAAATAACCCTGTATTTTCTATAAGTTCTAGCTGGACCACTCAATAAAAGTCCTTTTAGTGTCCATTAAGTGAAAGTCCAGTGGAAATGTCCACAGATAAAAAACAACAACAGCTTTTACTTTAACCAGCAGCCATTTAACCGTTTAACTAAGCATTGATTGTTTTTGTTCATTATCAATACTGGAGCTGCTGCGTCACAGTCCTTTTTATACTCCATTAACCTCAGTCAGTGGTTAGCGTCAGTGTGAAGTGAAGTGCTCTCTTAATTTACTGAATCAAGGCTTCGGACACGTTACCAATTCAGCCTGCGATGCAGACGGGCGGTGGTCAGAGAGTGGCTCTCATCCGACTGAGGTTCTTCTCTTACACCTCAGTCGGTGGCTCGCGGTGTTTACACCCCCTCAGGGTCGTCATGGTAAGACAAACGTTAGTCTAAGGATGGAGTTTTATACGCTTCCTTTATTAACCCTCCTGTTTTTCTGCTGCTTTTATGACCGGAGATCCTCGAATGCAAGTTTTATGGCGAAAGGAGCAAAGGTTGAAAGTGTGTGTGTGTGTGTTTGGACATGTGCTGGTCGGTGCAGAAACCTTAGCTGGGTTTCATTTTCCTCCAGTGGCATCTCATATTTCCTGTCACGAGACTCACCTCTCTCTCCCTCTCTCTCCCTCTCTCGCTCTCTCTCTCCCTCTCCTCCTGCAGGTGAGAAAGGCCAAAAGTGATGACACACCAGAAGCTCTTCCTCAGCCCACCTGCTCCGCTCACTTGTCTCATGTGAGGCCTCACTCTGTGACACTACTTCTACCCCTCACCTCTGAACTGAGGAGCCCCAGCCCAGAGGCCATGGAGACGACTCCCAGATCCGAGGCATCCTCAGAGTCCACAGACACCACCCTGCTCCCCGGCCATCTCGATGTCAGCCTCTCTGGCAGCGGGGAGACCCTCCTTAGGTCAGTGTAATAAGAACACGCACCCGTGTGTGAAACAAAATGTCAAATATTTGCTGCTGAATTTTGCCTAAAAACAGATTTATGAACATCCAATCCCATTTGTGGCAAAGCCAAATCTGTGGTGTTTACGTGACGTTCAGTGTGAAACTCAACCACACCCCCTGGTGGAGTGGCGGTCGACGCGGTGCCTCAGTGCTGAAAGGTTCAACTGTGTGGACTTGAGACTTTCTCTTTATCTGTTCAACAAGAGGTGTAAGAAAATATCGATTGCGATATTTTGTTTCACGATACCGTATCAATATTTTACACCGTACCGTTTTTTTACTAACAATTAACATGCGAATATTTTTATTTTCCCAACAATTAAAATTGTTGGGACTCAATTTATTGCCACATTATATCGCAACATATCAGATAAGTATCGTAATCGCTACGACCCCTGGTGTGAACCTAAGTGTCGTTGTCTTTGGATGTGTCCCTGAGATGGACTGTGGACCAGTGTGTTTAGAAAAATATAATTAGACACTGCTTCATTTTATGATTTAACAATTATCAGTCGTGGCTGATAGCAAAGATTGCACGGCCGTAAAACACCAAACATTATCGGCCCTTATTAATCATTAAATTGCGCAGAGATAATCTGTTATCTGTTGTTTTTGTTGAAGTTTTCTGAGTGATTTTGCCGTTGTAGTCGGGATGCTAAGACTAAAAACAGACTCATTGTTATTGACCAGAGTTAGCGCCGGTCGTGAGGTCGCGGCTGAAGGATTGACGGTGAATCCTCTGCGTCACACTGACACTGTGATCAGGGATCGGCATGCAAACGAGCCTATTATAAGAATCAGAAACTGGAACCGCTAGGTGTTGAGTGTCCTCGGCCCTGGAATAGCCCGGCTGCAGCGGTGTCTGTTGTTACCGTGGGGCAGTTGGCCTTGACTGTGGCCACACCTGCAGTGTTTATATAAAAAAAAAATCTCTTTAAAAATTAAAATTCAATCTTTTAATTGACGAAGAAAAAATGACAAATTCACTTCATGGACTGGACTTCCTCCGTAATATTGTGATTAATCGAATTATTCCGGCGTCTGGTCTTCATCTCATCTGGACTGAAGCAGTAAATATTGAGTCCATGTTGAGTGTCATCGTGAAGCGGTGAGATGGGAAGTGATCCTGCCGTCTGGCTTCGACTACAGCTTTTTACAACCTGTGTGACCTTTGAGGTGGCATTAATCAGAATTGAAATCTGTGTCAGCACCAGATCCATGAACACATAAGGTTTAATGTGACACTGAGTCAGAGTCTGACCGACAACCTGCAGGAGCTGCATGTTTGTCTTACTTTTATGTTCAGATGTATATTTGACATGGCACTCGGTGTAAACACCAACATTCCTACAAACTGTAGTTGTAGTATTAGATTACAGAAGATAAGACGAAGTACAGTACAGTATGAATACTGTATGATACAGCAAAAAATAAGATCTGCTATGATAACATAAAAATATATAATAAGATCTGCTATGATAACATAAAAACATAACATATAACATATAATATATTTTTTTAAGATTTGATTTAATTTAGAAAAGAAATGCAGGGCAATGTGAAATATAAAATTAAAAAAAACATTTTAAAATGTCAAAAAAATTGAGAATTAGAAAATTAAAAAATTAAATTGATCATTAATTCATTAATATTTTTTATTTTAATTAATACTTAATTAACAATTCATACACGCATTTGAATCAGCTCAGCTATTTATCATTAGTTATTAGTTATTAATATTTATTTATTATGTTTAAAATTGTCTCAATTAAAATACTTTTTTCTCTGTTTTTCAATTATGATGACAAATGTACTACTGCTAGTAATACTACTACTACTCCTAGTATTACTTTTATTATTAATACTATCACACCTACTAAAAATACTCCCTTAAGTACTCGGACTCAAACTGAATAATTTCCGTGAAGTTGTTGTTAACCTCGGTTTAGTCTCAGTCCTGTCTCTGTCTTCATCAGTCCTCCAAGCGCTGCCGTCGCCGTGACAACCAGCGCTGGGTTAAATGAAGTGCTCCGCTCTTAATAAATCCAGGCTGGCAAGAGTTTTCCTCACCATGTCAGGGTACCAGTAAATCTTGTAGTGGATTTCTCCTCACACACAGTCAAATTGCCCACGTCAGGTCGTATCAGGTGACTGGTCCGCGGCCTGGGTTACCAGTTGGGTTGCCAGTTCTGGGGTCATGTGCATCAGTAAAACTACCTCAGTTGTATTTACATCAGAAAGTGGTCAAAACAGAGAGCAGTGAAGAGTGTGTGTGTGTGTGTGTGTGTGTGTGTGAAGTTAGATAAAGACGGTTGGTTGGTTGACAGTGAGCAGAAGAATTTTATATTTTATCCATTTACAGCTCAGTCCACTGACAAGAACCAAGTAAATAAAGCTACAGTTATGTAAAATTCTAAAAAAAAATGTTTTTAAATAATGTGACTTTTTATTATATATATTACTATCATTAACATTTATTAGCAAAATAGTCTCAGCGACATAAATATATATATATTTATATATATATTTATGTATTTATGTATATATTTATTTAAATATATAAACCCCATATATATATACATATCTAAACAATTAAAAAGTGACTTAATAACTAATTAATTTTGACTAAATAACTAATAAATGATTATAAAAGGTCGTGATTGTAATAAGTCTTGCTTGTCTTTTTGACTAAAATCTGTAAAAAACAAATTTCGTCACACGTGTTAGAAATACGCTTTAATTTAATCCAGGAGAAAGCTGAATGAATTACACTAAACCTTGAGCGTCATGTGTATGTATGTATGTATTTTCACATATATCTGTGATGACACGATGGCGTGACTTTGCAGCTACGCCCTCATTCCTAGAACTCGCGTTAATGTCACCCTCAGCCTTGCGTCTGCTTTTAGATATTCTCATCTCTTCAACACCTTGACCTTGATACCGTATCATACCGCAGACCCACCCGCGGTCCTGAATGACTACACTGATATTTTAAATACCTGGACCGTCTCACCTGCTCCTAAAATATGACACCAGCCTCCCTCGCCGCACATGAGCCAACATAGCAGCGTGGTGTGAACACATTTCCCTCCCAGCTTCGCTCGGTGACTCACTGGGGGATGCATGCGGGCTTTTGTGTAGGGTTGCCATGGAACACTGAATCTTGTGATGTAACTATTGGATTTCTGAGAAGCCTGTGGGAATTAGATAGAGGTGAGGAACATTGCGGTGTGGTGTGAGCGCAGGCTCCCTGTTGGTGCAACAGTATTGTCTCAGAAAGTCTCCACCATCAGGCTGAAAACGTGAAGACATGAGCTGCAGGGAGTTTACAGCAGGAACCTGTGTTACCTGAGGAGGTAGTTTTCCAAATCCCACAAAGAGAAGTGACTGTTATCAGCTGAGACAGAGCAGGTGGTAAATACATCATGAGTGATCATTGTATTTAGTCTAGTCCAGGCTCTAGTCGGTTTCCAACCACTTCTCCAGGGCATCAAACCCTCAGGAAATGACTCAGGAACTAGGTTCTCACAGCAGGAAGCAGTGGCTCAGATCTGATTTATTTATTTTGACCATATGTGTGTCTTGTTTTTTATGAACAGCAAAAAAAATAATGCACAAAAATGGAGCTATTCTGTAGGAAGAACATGATTGTCAACGTCTTACTTACTCCTTTGACCATTAGGTGGCGACAGGAAAGTCAGCGTAGTTAGTTATTATTAATGTTTACGTTGTTTTCGCCTGAACATTTACGTCGCTGCTTTGATGAAAGGAAAAACATGTTGATCCAGACCCGTTGGTGAAATCTGGATTTTTCCAGAAGTATTCCCTCAAAGGCATGTGTTTTCCTCTCAGTAAGGTAGTGGGTAAGTAGGATTTCCTCTTTGGTAATACGAGGGGTCTGTGGTGGAACGGATTATTTTAATACGCATGCCAGACAGTGTAATACAAGAGGCTTTCGTCATCGAAACGTCCGCAGTAATGCATTGGTATTGTTGGCTGAACTCCACCTGCATCTGAACCAGGTTGTGCAGAACAACAACATTTCCTGTGCATTGTCTCCAGAGGTGTTCACTGAACCTTGGCCTCTTTTTGATTCCTTGAAACCTAAATCCTTTGTTTTGCGCTCCGTCGAGGTGGTACTCCAACCACCAGTCGAGTGGTTTCCTCATCACTTGATATGCCTGTTATTGTGAGGCAGGTGACGTCACCTCGTGTACCCGAACACATTAACGGTTTCCTCAAAAACAATTTGTTTGTCCGGTGTGTTTCAGATCCTCTCGCAATCAACATGTTTGTTCTTAGTGACTGAAGGGTGAACATTTTCTGAAGCGGATGATTTAATTTTTTTTTTCTCTACACATTAATCATAAATCCGAGCTGATTTTTTTTTTTTTTTTGGTGCATGTGACGTTATGTGTTTGTTAGAAAATGATGAATATTGAACAGGAAATGTTTTTATTATAATTCTAAATTATATTTCATTAAATATGAAGATTTATCTAATGTACTTTCTGCATGAAAAACAATTTTTTTTTTTAGATAATTATGTTATGATTGTACTGGTCCGGCCCACTTGACGTCTAATTAGGTTGTTTGCGGCCCCTGAACCAAAATCAGTCTGACACCGTGCATGAAAGTCATCTTGACTTGAAAAACAAGTCAAACTCCAAATGTTCCGTAACTCGCCGGACAACATTTTAGTCTCGACATTATCTTGAGAACACATCTGTTTTTGGCTGCACACCTGTCACACGAAAACACAAAAAAAATAGTTTTGTTGCTTCGACTACTCATGGATTTTTATCCTTGAATGAATTTCCAGTTCACAAATCGCGTTAAAAGTTTAAAAAAAAAAGTCCAATTAATAATAACATTTTTTTGTTTATAAAATATATGAAAAAATAATTTATTTAAGAAGGGCATCTAAAATTGTGGTGATATTTACATTTAAAAGTGATATAAAATATTTAGTAACACTGATGTAACAAAATAAATGATTATGGAATGTTGAGTCTGTTCAAGGCAATTCCAGAATCAATGCTAAGTTCCCCGTTGTTGCATAATTCCATCATGTGCTCCTGGCAGATAATCAGCAGCAGCAGCAGCAGCAGCAGCAGTCTTTTCTCTCCAGCTTCATAATAATTACTTGAGACAAGTTCCACAAAAGCACTCATCTGTAGAACTGCCAGCCTTTTCTTCTCCAGACAAAGGCCAGCCGTATGCTCCTATTTTCAAACGCGTGGAGAGGGAGGAGTTGATGTTATTACCAAAGCACTTAGTGGCTACATCGTATAGGCAGGTTATGTTTTCAATTTTTCTTTTTCCCTTTTTTATGATTCAGATGTAAGGTGGAGAAGGAAGAAGCTGAAGATGGAGGCAGGCCCACATCGCCTTTCTACATGAGGTAGGGCTTCCTGACTCAGAGTAGGGCCCTGCAGGGTCGGGTGAGAGAACGTTGTTGTTGTTGTTGTTGTTGTTATGACAGTCTGGAGGTGTGAGTGGGGGAAGCGGTCGCCCACTGACACGCTGCTTTGTCATCGGAAACAAAAGAATCTGCAGTTGGTGGTAAAACAGGGCAGCATGCAACAGATTGAACATCCCTGTGTGATGGTTGTGGCAGAAGCAGCTGCAGTACGTGTTTCAAACACACACACACACACATACACACACAAAAACCCCACAAGTCACTGGTCCAAAATGTGAGGATGTGATGTGAGGATCATTTCAACGGCTTCAGTCATTACGTCTTTCCTGAGTACTGAGTATTCTACTGAAGCAGATATCTGTGACCTTTGACATGTTGAAGACTTTTATTATCTATTACTGATGTTTAGTGAACCTAAACCTCATCTTGGTACTGAGATACCAAAGTATCTATGTGTCTGTGTGTTTTGGAACCATAGGCCTGCTAGACACTGGTACGCCAACTTTTGATCACAGTAAAATACTTTACCAATAAATTCCCGAACAAATCTCCGAAAAAAAAAGTTTCTCAAAAATGACTAAAAATGCACTCATTTGTCTTCAAATACTTAGCTATGTCCATTTCTGTGGTTAAAAGTCAGAAAAAATATACTTTTTTGGTACGCCAACCTTTGATCACAGAAAAAATTCTATACCAATAATTTTCCGATCAAATCCCCGAAAATAAAAGTTTCTTAAAAATGACTAAAAATGCACTCATTTGTCTTCAAATACTTAGCTATGTCCATTTCTGTTGTTAAAATTCAGAAAAAATATACCTTTTTGGTACGCCACCTCTGGGTCTGTGTGTGTGTTGACTTGTGTGTGTGTGTGTGTGTGTGTGTGTTGACTAATGACTGCCTCAGGTGTTCGCTCACCCTAAGCTCGTTCTCTCAGCCAGGCTGTTTGCTGACGTGACCTTGCAGCTGATAATGGCTGCCGGCTGACGGCTGCTCTGAGCAGGTGTTGTGTTAACTTCAGCAGTTTCACAGTAACAAGGTGACTGCTTCAAATACACAGCTTAAACACAACAACTTGAAAACTCAGCCTAAATAAAAGTCCACTGTCGTACAATCAGAGCGCAGGGAGATAAACGTGACCCTGACCTACATAAACACCACAGTCACACCACGCCAGCGGGGGCAATAAATCTACTGCCCACCGATACTCGCAGCTTTTGAACCCATTAACATTGAAGGTTTATTTTAAACAAAGCAGAATCGAATGGATTTTAATAAAAAGAAAACAATAACAGGTCAAGCTTCAAGCTTCAACGGCCAAGGAGCAGATACTGAGTCAGGTTTTCATCGTAGAAGGTTAACTTAACGTGTTAGTAATCACTAACCAGGCTCCATTACATGAGTATGTATGAAGCAGTGAATGGATTACACACAAACTGCATTCCTGAGAAGTTGCTGCTCCTCAAGATTAAAACAAGAGAAAAAAAACTCTGTAAGGAAATGAATTCATAAATGTATCAAACCCCTTTACAATCACACATTATGACATCACATCACATGTTCTTTCAGCTGCTACCTATAGGGGTCGCCACAGTGGATTAATCTATAATATAATATTTATATAATGTATTATATATAATATTATATAATATATTATGTATATATATATATATATATTATATGTATATATATATATGCATATATATACATATATATATATATATATGTGTGTGTGTGTCTTAAATATCATGTTTTTCTACTGCATTACTACAGTTTTTTTGTGTGTTTCTGTGTACGCGGTACATGCTGACTGACAGTTACCTCCAGGATATTCTGTCTGTGAGCATTTATAGCTCAGTATAATGACATTACACAACGGTTGCACTGTCAGAATCAACCGTGGCGTTCTATTCTCGGACCGCCGTGTTGACGTACAGGTTTATCTTTGGGGTCGTTCATCTGAACTCACTGCTGCAGAAGCTTGTGTTTTGAGTCCATGTTCAAATCTAACACAGTGACTCACTGACTTCCGCTGCACTCTTTTTGGTCGGTAGCTGCTAACGGGCTAGCGGCCGTCAGTCCTGCCTCATACCATAGTGTCTCCTCATCATCACGTCTTTATTTTAAATCACCTCAGACTATCACAGACGCTGGTCAGTGCCAGAGGATATTCATGGCTGAATGTTCAACACCGGACTCTTACAGTCAGTCTTTGGGCCCAGCTGTTTGAATCATCAGAGACTAAATGTGGCTCCAGCAGAGCAGAGAGAGAGAAGCTGATGTCACACTGCCAAGAAACATGACTGTAATGGAGGCCTGGACACAATCAGTAGATTTTAAATTATTATTGAATTTGTTTTTTTACTCAGAGATTCTATTCCTCTGAGTGAAACACAGTGTCCACAGAATAAATTTAAAAAATCGAATTAAATCAACTATATTGACAATTTTAATTCTCCATTTATTCCTAATTAGGTCTTTTTTTTGTAAACTGATGCTCAACTTTATTATAAGTCAAAAAACTTTTTTTTTGCATTGAATTTTTATAATTCAAGACAAAACGCTTTAATAAAGAAAAAGTGGTTAAAAATGAAGAATATCTCATCAATAAATGAGAAATTCAAAGACATTTTATGCTGAAATTAATCCGTAAAAATAACATACGTGACTCATTAGACTCGTTTAATTATTTTCTTTTTTAAATACAGAAAAATAAAAGTTTATTCTGATACAGTTGGACTCTCTCAGTGGGGACATGCAGACCACCTTTAGCCTGATGAACTCAGCCTGGAGCAGGAAGTATTTTTAGAAACTATGTTCAGCATCTACCTCTGGGTGTAACCTCGCGTCTCATCATCGTTTTTATCCAAAGCTGCTACAGAGGCCGTTTTTACAGATCTGTTTCTTTAGGTTCAAGTCTTGATGTTTGTGCTGCATGCGAAAAAAAAAAGTCATGTGACATTTTTCAGGCACAAAAGGGTAAAGGTCAAGTCCACCTGGGTTAAGATATCCAACATTCTTTCTGTGCTCCTCTTCTCTCCTCTTATCATGTCTGTGGACCAGAGCTCTGCCAAGCTCTGCTGTGACTGACTGTCAACACTCACGTCAGGGAGATTATTTTTTCTTTTAAAGCCTGTGTTTATAGTTTTATATATATATATATATATATATATATATAAATAAATATATAAATGAAATGTCCTCATCTGCTCTGAACGCAGCAGCTGAAGTTAACAGACAATCATAAAGACACGATGCCTTAATCACCAGGGATTCGGGGGGGGGCTGGGGGGGTTCAGCGTTGCTCAGTGACCTGTTGTGACCACCTGCCTCTGCAGCATTAATTCACCTTTGTCTTGTGTTTCTCCTGTCAGTAACCACCTCTCCTCTGCCCACTGCAGACCTGATGTGGTGAAGTACATGGACTTCAATTTTTTCTCCTGTCAATTTATTATTTATTAGTTATTATTTATTATTTATTACTGCTGTGTTCTGTTTGGTGGGTTAAAAAAAAAAAAACAAAACATCTGCTGATTTGTCTCCGTGTCTCTGTGTCTCCGTGTAGTTTTCTGGACAGGACCATCCGTTCAGCAGTGGAGCAGCACCTGTTCAACGTCAGTCCTTCACAGGATCAAAGTCTGAGGGAGTGTGAGCCCTGCTTGACCTCTCCGAAGGGGAGGCCAACTGCACGACAGAGACGCCGACACAAGAGACAGCAGCAGCAGGAGCAGAGGGAGGAGCAGGAGGGGCAGGAGCAGCAGGAGCAGCAGCAGGAGCAGAGGGAGGGGCAAGAGGAGCAGGAGGGGCAGGAGGAGCAGGAGCAGCAGGGCCCCAGAGAATGTGAACGAGACTGGTACAGTACATCCTTCTAGAATGACATAAGAGGACGTTCAGTGATGTCAGAGGTCGTTCACTCTCTGTATCTCTGTTAGTAATAGTAATAGTTATAATGATGTCTTTTTTCAAAGCCAGGGATTAGCCCCGCCTCTTTTGACATGTTTTATTGACAGCTAAGCCTAACCACTAAAAAAACAGTTCCTATCAATCAATAACTTGATACATTAGTAACTTTTACCAATATATTTTACATCAGATGTATGTACTGAGGTCAAACACTTCTTCAAACACGACCCCAGACTTCATCATGAGACTGACTTGACTTGAACAACACCCCCCCCGCCCCCCCGAGTCCCCAAACAACCTCCGCCCAGTGGCCTCAGGGAGGATTAAAGATGACGAGGTTTATTTTTTTTTAAGATAAAGTAGTGAAGTGTACATCACATCAGATCAGTAAATGAACACACACTGCTGTTTTGGTAACACAACACAGGTCGTTCCAGCTGATCCTGGTGGAGTCTGAGGGATTAGACCAGTGCCATAGTTCAAAGACACAAAGTACTGTGGACAGTAAACAGTGATTGGACACAACCTAAACAGCGCCTCTGCACAGGAAACTAGATGTACAGTAGTGGAATGGAATTGGAGTGCAGTGGAAGACACACATTAAAACCTCTTTAATTCCTGCCTGACAACAGGGCTGCACACATCACCGCAGACATCAACAAAGAGAACATCCCGTCCAGTGGGAGAAGAACCTCAGGCGACGTGGGGGAGAACACGAGCAGCAGCGGCAGCAGCGGCAGCAGCGGGGGGCGCGGGCG